CTAATGTCGGGGGCTTAAGTGGAGAGGAAATGTTTTGAGAATGATGGGGGCAATGAATGTACAAATGCGCTTTACACAATTGCTGTGTGTATGGATTGTGATAAGAGCTGTATGAGCCCCTAATAAAGTGATTTTTTTTTTAAAAAGTTCAAAAATTAATGCAGAAAAAAAAATCCACGATCAACTAAATACCAAAATCTTAACAAAGACACAATCCCACAGGACCAGGGTTAGGGGGAGGTGAGTAAGCACATTACATACAACTGGGTATTTTGAACATCCTGAGTTAGCAAAGGGGAAAAGAGTGAAGGATGAAACCTTGGGAGTGGGCAGGGGGCAGAAAAACATCGCAGGCATCAGTAGAAAAAGAGGAGCCCACAAATGAAACCAAGAATCAAAGGGAGGAGAAGAAACTAAGTCTTGTGGGGTCCAAATGACAGGAGAGCTTCAAACAAGACTTATTCACAACCAGCAGATGCAGATCTAAGATATGGCAGGTACGGCTCATGCCCTGAGTGTCCCTGGAAGTGGGAGGGGGGCATAGAGGGGGGTAGGAGGGGCAAAGGGGGTATTAGGGGGTACACTACTGAGCAGTTTCTATGACCCATCTATCGCCAGTTGTGAGAGATCAATCAGCAAGCTGAAACATAATCCTTTCCTATTTGAGAGCCTGGGGTGGGATTACTCAAAAGCAAGGGAAGCAAGTATTTTAGACATCCACAAAGCAGAGGCACCAGTTGTCCAAACCAAAGATCCATAAATGGCAAGCAGACAGGACACAGGCCAAGTGAACCCCTCTCTAGAAGGGAACTGGGAAGACACTCAATGACATTGATCCCAGCTCCAATGCTGGAGAATGTGCTGGCCCAGAAATAAAGTTCACGCAGGCTCACGATGCTACCCATGAACCAGGCTGTTTAAGCTATGAGGCCCCCTACCACTTCACTGCCTTCCTTTATATCTCTGGGGAAGAAAGATGTGGCAGTTCGCTTCTGGAAAGATTACAGACTTGGCAACCTTACGAGGCAGCTATAACTTGTCCTGCAGGGTTACTAGGAGTCAGGATGGAATCTACAGCAGTGGGTTTGGGTTTTTCAATCCTGTGAGAGAGGCCAGTGGAGGTTCAACGTTTTGATTCTTGTCTTCTCTGCAGGAGACCTGGGTGCAACGCCCAGCCAATACGCGGCATGTGCAGTCACCCCCTATCCATCAGTGGAGGTATTCTTGTGGCTATGGCAGAGCTGCTCGAGGAAGATGGCCTAAGAAGAAAGGCCTGGCCATCTACACCCCCAAATCAGTCAATTCCAGGCCTGTGGATCACAACAGTTTGATCTGCAACTGATCATGGGCATAGATAGCACCGGACCAGGCAGAATTTTTGTTCCACTGTGCATGGGGCCGCCACAAGCCAACTAATAACAACAAATCAGTAGAGAGGAAACGGTGAAAGGTAGGAGACCAAGAGGTAAATAAATGGCAGAGAACTGTCTAGCAAAACAGAAGCATGTGAGGCCAGAGTCAAGCCACCGTTCTTAAACTGGAGGGGACATCAGCACCACCTGGAGGGCTGAGCCAGGCACAGACTGCTGGGCCCCACCACCCAGTTTCTGACTCAGCAGGTGCAGAGTCTGTAGGGCCAGTAAGTTCCCAGGTGGTGGTGATGAGGATGATGACCCTCTAGAGCAGCGGTTCTAAACCTATGGGTTGCGACCCCTTTGGGGGTCAAAAGACCCTTTCACAGGGATCACCAGGTTCATAACAGTAGCAAAATGACAGTTATGAAGTAGCAACGAAAATTTTATGGTTGGGGGTCCCCACCACTTGAGGAACTGTATGAAAGGGTCCCAGCATTAGGAAGGTGGAGAACAACTACTCTGGAGTCTAGGGAGCCGTGCTTTCTGTTTTGAACTTGATGGTTGTGAATGGGTACGGGTTTGCAGAGCAGATCATTAGTTGTTCCTTCCACAACACATACACCCTATTTTCCATCTCCTCCATTGCAATCCCTCAATGTACTACCCCCTGCCCTTTGTCCTATATTCCCATTTCCGTTCCTCCTCTTTTCCTAACCCTCTGAACTTTGTCCTTGGTAGGTGCTTTACTTCTGATCTTAAAAGGTTGAGTCTTCCACCACGTGGATGGGTTCCGTTTCCAACCAGAAGGGTGACTAAAGCCCACTGGGGTCTCACCTGTCTCTCTTCAGCCAGTTAAGTCTGGTCTCTCGTAAGCTTTCTGAGTTTTGTAGAGAACCACTCTTGAAGAACCACAACAGTAGAGACAAAGTATAGCTGTCAGGAAACTTGGGGTGAAGGGTAGAAAGGACAGGAAGTTGAGAGGTAGAAGGCAAGGTCAGAGGAGGTGGGGTTGTGTCTGCTGTGAGTAAAAAGATCAAGGACCTGAAAAGAAGTCTTGAAGGTTTAAATGCCACTGAAGATAGGAAAAGCAGCTGACCAGGTACAAAGAAAAGAACTGAAAAGCCCAGTTGAGACCATTTCTGCACCATTGCCATCAAGGCAACTCTGACTCCTAGTGACCCTACAGGACAGAGGAGAACTGGCCCACAGGGCTTCCAAAGCTGTCAGTTTTGCAGCTGGTGTTCAAAATGCCAACCTTCGACTAGTAGCCAAGTGCTGAACCACCACACCACCAGGACTCCTTGAATGAGACTAGGCATCCTGAATTTGTACTGCCACGGTCTGATTATGACTCCCCCAAGCAGCACTTCATCCTACTTAAGAGTAAGAAAGGACAAAGTAGATGGTAGCACTGGTCAGCAGCTGTCATTCTGTCAACCGGCCAGAGGAACAAAGTACTGTAGGGGATAGTGCCTAAGATCCAGATGGGGAAGAAGGGAAGTTTTAAAGGAGTAAAAAAGGTATTCCTGAAAAGCACGGCTGAACGGGTCTAAGCATCGCAAGAATTCTAACATTTTAGGATCAGGCAATTCTCTTGTTAGTAGTTGTTTTGTAAATCTGGAGTGATACATTCCATAGGCAAATAGCCTCATTTTAGTCCCGAGAGCTCATTTCTTATCCATTTTCCTCCAACAACTACACTGGTTTCTTTCATTCAGGTTGTTTCTCAAGTCACTCTCTCAGTTCTCAAAACTCTGCTACGATGCTCAACTCAAGAAAGTATTCGTCCTCTTGATTTCCCCCCCTCACATTCCCTCTAAAATAACCTTTAAAAAACTAGGATCCTCTCATGTATAGTTAATGCTTTCACTTACCCATCCATTTAAATAAGTTAGCAAGTATAAAATATTTACCAATGAATGAAACAAAACCAGGTGAAGTTTGGTCTTATTGAAATAAATCCCTCATTCTCTAATACAATCTGAATAAAGTCATATGAAAAGTTCATCCAGGGGAACTTGTCCATTGTAACTTGAAAAATCTGGCAGCCACATAATTCCATTTATGTTTAAATGAATCAGAACCACCTACTTACGCTGTTCTGATTCAGAACATCCCAATACAGGTCCAAACATCTCTCAATTCCAACTCATAGAGACCCTACAGGGCAGGGTAGAACTACCCCTGTGGATGTCTGAGACCGTAGCTTTTTACAGGAGTAGAAAGTCTCTTCTTTTTCCTGCATCTAGTGGCATCAAACTGCTGACCTTGCAGTTAGTAGCCCAGTAGGTAACCACTACGTCACCGGAGTTCTAAGCAAAACATACCACTTTTAAAGCCAAGGCAGGAAAAGAGGCACTTTGGATTTAAGGTACTCCACTAAATACTAAGGGCTCCCTTCAAAACAGTGATTTCCATGTATCACTTTATTTGACACTCTAGGGTTTTATACCACAAAGCAAAACATCACATTAAGAGCCAACTCTGATTTATATCAACCCTATTTGGGGTTTCTGATACTGTAAATCTTTATGGGAAACGGCAGCCTCTTCTTTCTCCCATAGAACATCTAATAGGTTTGAACTTGTTGACCTTGTGATTAGCAGTCCAGGGCTTACTGAGCAGGACTCTTTAAGACTGGGAACAGGCTGGAGATATGCCTTCTTGTGTGATACAGGAAGTGAGCTATCTGTTATAAACATGGGCTCCTTTTCTGATGGTTTTAGGAAATATGACAAGGCTGTGAGAGCCAGGGCTCAGTGGGGCTGCCATGTTTTTTCAGGGTTCTCTCAGGTTTTGTGCCTGTGACGGGGTGTAGTCTGACCACCAGTCTATCATGCTCTCTGAGTGGAAAACATATGCATTTTCCTTCTCTGGCAGGTTTCTACATTACACAGGTCCTGACTTTCTTAGGTTTGACGGTGGTACAAACAGAAACAGGGGATTTAAAGAGGCATTCCCTTAAAAGTGCAGACTCCTTTGGCAAATCTTGAAGGGTTTGCACAGCCCAGTTTGAGGGCCACTGGATTCTATAATATATAACGTACTAGACTGACAATTACTGACCATCTACTACTCACCAGGTACAGAGATAGGCAGTTAACACATACAATCTGTAAGTCTTTAGAAAGTGATGTGATAAGCATAACATTATCTTCATTTTACAAATGAGGAAAGCTTTAGGGGTTAAATGGTTTGTCTGGCGAGCAACAGACTAGGGATATGAACTCCAAGCTGCCTCAAAGCTCATGGCTTTGTCACATCACACCACACACAGTCCACTTTCTTACCTTCAGCACATCGGTGGGGTTAGCTATAGTGGAAGATATCACTCCTGACACTACCCCACAGATCATATTAATTAGAAGCGTTTCATCTGCAAAAAGGGAAGAGAAAACACAACACATACACACGAAAGATCTGTGTCAGATATCAGTTTCTGAAAGCAGGGCACTAAGTTCACAGACGAGAAAAATCTTAGGCAGAGAGGTGACTTTAGAAATGAATAGCACAGTTTATGAACCTCAAGAAAACGCAAATATATCGAGATCTCCAACCAGCACTGGTTATTGGAAAATATCAGTCTTCATTTGGAAAAAAGATGATTTCTAAAAGCCACAAGAACATGTCCTATTCATCTCAGTCACTTACTAATACCACCCCACATGAATTTGTAGTTTGGTATTTCTCCTACAATCATTTCAAAAATATGAAAATATAGTACTTTCTTCTGTCTTTTTCCAGGGGGGCAGGGGAAATCACCTCTACAGAGTCAGAAATGAAATGTTAAAAGAGAAATTCTTATAGCAAACAGAACAAATGACCTACATATTAACTGTGACTGCCTTAGATCCAGCTAAGCATCAATTGACTTATAGGAGGCTTCTTGTAGTCAAATGGGAAAAGCAGTCGTTTGGAACGAAATCTCCTCAGTTACAAAAGAACAAAGAAACCACAGACATGTTGTTCTAAAGTGAAAATTCCGCCTTCACCACTCCCCCTCACCACAAGGAGCTGACAAATAAAAACTAGGGAAACACGGGAAGGAATCTGGGAGAGGAAATGAGATTAGAAAGAAGTGGAGGGGTGGCCTGCAGACTCCTCAAAGAAGAGGCTCCGGGGAAAGTTGACTTAAGACAATTGAGTGAGGCAAAGGGCTGTCCCTAAATACCCAGCAGCCCAGGTTTGTGGGAAAATAACCACTCCGTACAGTACCACACTGGACACCAACGAGATAGCTGTATGATGACACTGAGTGTGGGTAAGGTGGCCACAAGAACATCAGAATCTACCATAGGACAGGCTAAGATGATTCCACGGGAGAACATTGGCAACTAGCGAATTCTCTAGAGTTGAAATCTTCTTGCTCATAAAGGTATCACTCTTGTTTCTTCCTGGGTAAGATTGTTCCATGTTCCCTCTGGAATGGCCAGCATCTTTTTTACTTCTCTTTAATGCTGAGGAGAGGGACACACTTGAAGGACAGGTCCCCATGGCCCTTATAGCACTTCTGCAAGGATTTTGCCAGCACACATACACTTTGTCCTTGCAAAAACTGCCAGCCATCCTCGGGTACATGCAATGAAACTAAGCACGGTTTCAGTAACTCCTTTGAGTAGCACACCAACAGAGAGGGCACGTGTCTATACTGACCTTCCAAACGTTCTACAAATAATCGTTTCAAGCTTTGGTAGATGCCAATTTTAATGGTGCCATATGATGCCTGTCTTAGCAAAGCAGGAGCAATTCTGCCAAAAAGAAAGAGAGAAAGAAAGGTCAATTATAGGCAATATACATTTGCAGATTATACATATCTAGTGCGCCTACTCAATTCTGTTATCCACCTCGTTCCATCCAACCACAGCAGTGCATACATTTTTTTTTCAAGCACTCATAGAGCATTCACCAAGATAGACCATAGCCTAAGTCAAGAAAACAAACCTCAATAAGTCGAAAAATAAAACCCTGAAATCATGTAGAGCAGTGGTTCTCAACCTTACTGATGCAGCAGCCCTTTCATACAGTTCCTCATGTTGTGGTGACCCCCCAACCATACATAAAATTATTTTCGTTGCTACTTCATCACTGTCATTTTGCTACTGTTATGAATCGGGCGACCCTTGTGAAAGGGTTGTTCAACCCCCCAAGGGGGTCGCGACCCACAGGTTGAGAACCGCTGATAGAGTATATCTCCTCCAACCATAATGGACACAGGCTTGATATCAATAAGAAAAACAGAAAGCTCCTCAAACACTTGGGATTAAACAATGAGTCAAAGAGGAAGTCTTAATGGAACTTTTTATAAAAAAAAAGGAACCAAATGCAAATAAAAAGTCAACATATTAAAACATGTGGGGCAAAGGCGATCGCGGTGGTGTTGTAGACTTCTGCTTGCTATGATTGAACTATTGAAATTTATAATATGTGGGTCAGGTGTCAACAAAAATTTTAAAAATTAATTAAAAGAATGAGAAGTTCTGGTAGGGGTACCCATGAGCTCCAGCTTCTGACAGCTCAGGGTCTAGACCAGTGGTTCTCAACCTGTTGGTCGCGACCCCCTTAGGGGTCAAATGGCCCTTTCACAGAGGTTGCCTAGGACCATTGGAAAACACGTATTTCAGATGGTCTTAGGACCGAGACACTGCTCCTCTATCCCTCCAGGCGGGTCCTCCCACACGCAGATATGCCCACCTAAAAGTTACCCATTCTATTCCATGCTTCAAAACAAAATTTCATTTATTTGCAATTAGAAATAAATATTTCACAATAAATAATTGCACATTGTTTAGTGATTCATCACTATGCTTTCATGATGTTCAATTTGCAACAATTAAAACACATCCTGCCTATCAGATGTTGACATGACGATTCATCACAGTAGCAAAATGACAGGGATGAAGTAACAACAAAAATAACTTTATGGTTGGGGGGTCACCGCCACATGAGGAACTGTATGAAAGGGTCGCGGCATGAGGAAGGTTGAGAACCACTGCTCTAGACACTCTCAGTGCAGGAGGGGAAAAAACATGGAATGCAGCCAAAGCAACACTGAGACGGACACTTATAGCACAAAATGCTTACATTAGTAGAGAAGAAACGTCTCCAGTCAATCATCTGAATTCCTACCTCAAGAAACTAGCAAAAAGAGAGCCAAAGGAACCCAAAGCAAGCAGAAGGAAGGATCAAACAACGAGCATAAATCAATTAAATTGAAAACAAGAAAGCAGAGAAAAAGAAATGAAACTAAAACTAGACTCTTTGGGAAAAACTAAATGGATAAGCCTCCAGCGAGACTCAAAAGATAAAAAAGAGAGGACACACATCACCAATATCAGGCTGTGACAGGGGTTATAACTACAAATCCTGTAGCTGATGAAAGGATAAATAACTATTATAAATAATTTCATGCTCATAAAGTCACAAACTTAGATGAGATAGAATGTCTCAAAAACCACTGACTACCAAAACTCAACAAGGATGAAATCAACCATATAAAACATCTTACAGCCATTTAAAAAAATTGAATCTGTAATTTAAAACCCCAAACCAAACCCAACACCATTTAGGGTTTCCAGACAGCCTCCCCCTTTCACCTGTGGAGCTGTTGGTGGGTTTGTAGTTAAACCTTGTGGTTAAACCCCAAACCAAACTCACTGTCATCAAGTCAATTCAAACTCACAGCAACCTTCCAAGATAGAGTAGAACTGCCACTGTGAGTTTCCTCGCTTGTACATCATTTTGGGAACAGAAAGCCTCATTTTTCTCCTAAGGAGCAGCTGGTGGTTTCAAACTGCTGACTTTCTGGTTAGCAGCCCAATGTGTAACCCATTACATAGGCCACCAGAGCTCCAAAGGAATCTCAAGGCCAGGATTATTTCACTAGAGAATTCTCCCAAACATTTCAAGATGAACAATCTCTCTGAGAAAACTGAAGCGGGAAACCTAACACCAAATCCTGGCAAAAACTTCAGACCATCCGAGAGTCAGGCTCCCTCAGCCAGGAGCACAGCCCCATAGTGGTCCACTGCAGTGCCGGCATCGGCCGCTCAGGGACCTTCTGTCTCGCTGACACATGCCTGCTGCTGATGGACAAGAGGAAAGACCCTTCTTCCATGGATATTAAGAAAGTGCTGTTAGAAATGAGGAAGTTCCGAATGGGGCTGGTCCAGACTGCGGATCAGCTCCGCTTCTCCTACCTGGCTGTGATCGAAGGTGCCAAATTCATCATGGGGGAGACTCCTCGGTTCAGGAGCAGTGGAAGGAGCTCTCCCACAAGGACCTGGACCCCCCGCCGGAGCACGTCCCCCCACCACCTCAACCCCCCAAACGCATCCTGGAGCCATAATGCAAGGAGTTCTTCGCCAACCACCAGTGGGTGAAGGAGGAGGCAGGGGACAGGTAGAGAGAAGCGCCCATCGAAACCAAACCCAGAGCCCTCTTAACTGTCTCCCATAGCACGTAGCACGGAAAGCTCCAGTCAAGACACTTAAGTCAGAAGGCGGATTGTGGGGGAGAGTCTGAGCAGCACCCCAGTCACCGTCCCCACCAAGAGGGAGTCCCCAGCACCCGAGGAGGAGGAAGAGCAGGCGCTAACTCACTGGAAGCCCTTTCTGGTCAACATGTGCATGGTGACAGTCCTCACGGCCGGAGCGTACCTCTGCTATAGGGAATGTTTTCACTGATGAGTGTACCCATCCGAGCCCGGGCACAGAGAGCGCTGGCGGTGGCCGGACGCAGGATTCGGTCTGGAAGGATCTGAGCCAGGCCTCGGAAGAGACAGAGCAAAGGTTCTAAGGCTGGAATTGTGGACGGGCCAAAAGAGAGGGTGGCGGATGGATGCACTAGGGTTGCCGTGAGCCCCATGGTCCCAAGAACACACAAGGCGAGTCTCAGGGCCTTCACTTTTTCAGGAGCAAGAAGAGAAAATGTCAAATATGTCTCTCTTCTCTTTTTTGTTGTTCATTTGTTTTTGGAAGAAAAAAAACAATTACAACAACAACAACAACAAAAACTTCAGACCAATCTCTCTTATGACCTTAGAGGCAAAATCCCCAACAGAAAATTAGCAGTTATCTATAAAGAGAATTCTACCCCATTCCCCACCTCACAGATTTGTTTTTATAATTCACTTCTTCCTAACAGCTGCAAATACATCTTTAAGCTATCAACAGAGAGTTACTGGGGCCCATTTTAATTTTGCTTCGGAACTGGAGGCCTTCTCCCTCATGCCTCTTCCCTGGAGAGATTCTTCCAAATGGCAGAACTATACTTCAGGAGTTATAAATAGGATGGCAGTGGCAGCTCTGACAGTTAGAATTAAAATGTGATGACTAAATATGCATAGTTCTGATTTTATTACTTGATATGGGCGGAGAGTATCATGATTATCTATGCCGATGAAAGAACAAGGTGAAATGGACAATCCGTGAATCTATTACATGGAGCTTCAGGCTAGATTATTGCACTCCCCCTCGCCCAACACACAAACAAAATTATCATAGGCTAATAATAGCGTTGAGGTCCATTCTCTGAGTGCGGTAAACTTACAGCCTAGAGGCAAGGGTAGCCTGGGAATTAGGCAGCAGAGAAATTACAAACTAGACGACAACCTACAAACTGATGGCTAATCAAAAGAGTCACCGAGTCAGAATCGACTCAACAGCATCTAACAACAAAAACAATCAAAAATTAACTGCATATGTGCGTGAGTATCTTTCTATATTTTGCATTAAACTGCTAGAACAGTGGCTATCAACCTGTGGGTCACGACCCTTTCACAAGGGTTGCCTAATTCCTAACAGTAGCAAAATCACAGTTATGAAGCAGCAACAAAAAATCATTTTATGATTGGGGGCGTCACCACAACATGAGGAACTGTATTAAAGGGTCGCAGGATTAGGAAGGTTGAGAACCACTGTGCCAGAACAATTTTTTTTAATCATCAGTTTTATTGGTGTATAATTCACATTATCATACAATTCAGTAGTTCAATCACATCAAGAAGAGTTGTACAATCATCACCACAACCAGTTTTACAACAGCTTCTTCCTTTTTGTATGTATTCTATCAGCTCCCCACCCCCCCACTCCCAATTTCCCCTGCAGACCCCCAAGGAGCCATTCATCCAGTTACTGTTTCTAAAGATTTACCCATCCTGGATTTCATGCACAGAAAAACATACCTCCCCTCCCCAAAGAAAACCAACCTAACAACAATAACAAAGTAAAACAACAGAGAAAATCCTCAGTCAAAAAGAAAGCAAAAAGTATTAGAAACTTGAACAAATTTAAAATGTCTCATAAGGCAGATCAAATGATAAGGTAGTAAATTTTAACCTAGCTGCACCTGCAATAATCCACTTTCCAATACATTCTGCACAATAGCAAGGCTATTCACATCTCTGGTTAAAAAGAACACTTTCGAGAGAAGTTCAGTATTCGCCAGTTACGAAGAATACCAACGACAGGGTGACAGTTAACCGCCATCAGTAATGGCTCTCAAGGACCTTCATTCTGCAGGGATATACTACTACCCATTTGAAATTTATCACCTACAGTCAGATGATCACAAAATCCAAAGCTCACAAATTATTAGCAGCAGGTGGAACGGAAACGGGCACGTCAATACTGAATTACAGCAGCAGATAGTGAATATGAAGGACATAAACCAAATTACAGCTTCTTCCAAAACCAAATCGATTCTAGTAATTGCTGATAACTTGGTGGGGGTACCTTTGGGGGTACCTTTCCACATGTGGTTTGATGATACCCGGTTTCAAGAATTCCCTGCCTGAATAAAACTCATGCAATAGATTTTGCGCACACACACACAAACAAAACTATTCATGACGTAAGGAAAGAATCTACCCTTACCCGGAATATAGTGCCAGTACACCTTCTTCTTTGTAAATGCGGAATAAGGCATGAAACATCCCTCTGTATTTGATCTCTTTGAAGCGGACATCGATGCTTTGGCCTTGCACTTGAAGTCTTGTCTTCGTGAGGTCCATGGGGAAAGTGCCTATTTAGAAACACTCATTTAGAAGTATTTCCCAAGAGTCATGATTAGATTGGAGCTGATTTCAAGCCACTGACAGTTTTTGAAAGATAAGATAAAATTCGTCTTGTAACACACAGAAGTTATCTACTAGAAGACCACTGTCAAAGGGCAAGACTCCTACATGGGCCAATGAAATGTACTGCACTGTGTCGCTGCAGTGAGATGTGACCCACACTGTAACAAGCTGTGGCAGTGAGGCACTTGAAGATGGTTTGAGTATAATTCAAACTCATTTCAATTTGGGTCCAGTTCATCTGTAATGCTACAGTCTGGCATTTATCGGATCTCTTCCCCCTTGCCACCCCTTCTCTCAAGCCTCCTCGGCCTTTCTTTCACAAAAATTTCCAAAAACTTTCACAAAGATAAGAAAGCAAGGGGGTGCTGCTCCAATATTACACACTTTGGGTTTGTTTTATCCACTCAAAGGAAAGGAATAGTCCCTCGATACTCTAAAAGATCACAGTAAAGTTCCCATCTGCTGTGATTCATTGTGGTTCCTTAGGGGCATCAGGACTAATGCGAGCAGAGAAAAAAAAGGCATATCCTTAGTATCTATCACTTTTCCCTTAAAAAAATTGTGATAATATATTAATAATATTTGCCATCTTAGGCAATTTCTAGTGTACAATTTAATGACAATGTGTGGTGTTATTTTCACTGCTATCCAGTTGCGCAAATATTTTCATTAACTCCCCCTCTCCCTCTTCTCACAGTGGCTCCTGTTAGCCACTCATATAAACATCTGTTGCTATGCATTTCTCCATGTTTGATACTGGATGGAGGTGGGATCTTGCAAAGACTGTCCTTTGATGCACTCATCGGGCAGCATCATTTCCCTCAGCATGCTTTCACAGCACTGGGCCACATTTCCTGCTGTTTTATGCGAGGTCTCTGCCAGAGACCTCAATGCGTTATGGATTTGTCAATGCCTTTCTTTAAATGGGTTTTTCTCTTTATGTCAACACATAGGATAGTCATGGCATTGAAAAAAAATATGTTTCAAGGAACATTTTCCAAGGTTCACCAGCTAACAAGATGATTATGAAGCTCTGGTCACTGATTGTCACCAGTATACCAGCACCAATGCATCCACCAAGCCAGTCCACAAAGATTGTTTGTGAATGCGGAAGATTGGCTGTAGTCACTGATGAACAATCTGAGAAAAAACTCATTTGGAAGATGGAGAGGAATGGCTGAAAAATATTCCAAAATTTTAAAAAAATCAAGAAGGGTCTTTTTTCAGAATTCATTTTTTCCTTCCACAATGGGGCAGAGTTTTGTTCTGTTTTTAAAGGAGTTTGGCTATTTACTAAGAACCAATAAGCAAATTCAGAGAGAACAAGCATATAGCAGAACTCCCTACTCCCTATTTTAGCCAAGCCTGGCAATGAACAAATCATTGGAATAACACAAAAGCTTCCTGAATTTGACTTTTCTTCCTGCACTTGCTGTGTCATTAGCTGTCCTTTCTCAGAAAATATTACTTGGTAGCACTGCGACAAGAATGTGGGGAACAAATAGAATGAGCATCTTTTTACCTTTGCTCCAGTGTTGATGGAAACCAAACCTAACCCCAACAAACCCAGGGTGCCATCATCTACTGCTTTAAAGGCGCAGCTTTGTCAGTGTTCTCGTTCTTACCAAACTCAGCAACGATAGAGGCAAGGCCGCCATATACAAAGGGTTTCCAATTCAGACCAGACATTTCATGGCTTCCAGTGGGACTTTTCTGGTGCTAAAAGTAAACATAAATCAGAACAAGGCACAAGAGTGAGGAGCATTTGTTAATTCATATCAACAAAACTGGCAACTACGATACATGTAGAGGAAAAGGGGCAGCCTGTTTTAGATGCTAGAAAATCAGGGACTTGTCCTTTCCTGCCACTCTGTGGGGACTCACTCTCATTGCCATTGAGTCACTTCTGACTCATAGTGACCTGAAAGGACAGGGTAGAACTGCCCCCTGTGGTGTTCCGAGACTGTAACTCTTTAAGGGAGTAGAAAGTCTCATGTTTTTCCCGAAAAGTGATTTCAAACTAATGACTCTGTGGTCAGCAGCCCCATGTGTAACCATTATACCACCAGGGCTCCTCTGGAGGGACAGGTGTGGCATTTCACTCAAACCCTTTACCCTTTGTTCTTGCCACTTTTACTGTTACCCCCATCCCCACAGAACGGCAAAGAAGAGGCCCAGTTAATTCATCACACTCAATTGACAATAACAAGTGAAGGCACCAGAAGTTCTAAAGCTATAGGCTGAGGCATGTCATAAAAGCAGTCAATGAGCTAGATGCAGGTACAAAGAATTAGCTTTTACGTAGCCTTCTCATCTCTCCACTAAACCTCAGGGCTTTCATTTATCCCTACTTCTATCTCTAGTCCCCATTAGGCCCAGGCTGAGCGAAGCCCCATTTTAATCTTCCTTGAGCCCAACAGCAATCTTGATTATGTCGCTCTTCTCCCTGACACGTAACATCTGTCTGTCTAGTGGATCTCTTTTTCCTTCTCTATGGCCTTGGGAAACACATATACATGGTTTCATTCTATGTACTGGCTCTTTAAATCTATATGCCGCTGCTTTACCCTCATTAAGACTTCTCACTGTCAAAAAAAAAAGACTTCTCACTATCCACCCCACCCCACCCCCGCTGCCCCATCTTTTTTCCTCTTTGGTTCAATCACTCCCAGCTCTTTCCCTCATGGATTTCTTTTTTCCCACAGCTCTGGCCTCTAGGCCAGTGTTGTCCAACTTTAGTGTGCACCACAATAACCTAGAGCAGTGGTTCTCAACCTTCCTAATGCCGAAACCCTTGATACAGTTCCTCGTGTGATGGTGACCCCCCAACCATAAAATTATTTTTGTTGCTACTTCATAACTGTAATTTTGCTACTGTTATGAATCGTAATGTAAATATCTGATATGCAGGATGCATTTTCTTTTTTCTAATTTAAATCATTTTATTGGGGGCTCGTACAACTCTTATCACAATCCATACATACATCCATTATGTCAAGCACATTTGTACATTTGTTGCCATGCAGGATGTATTTTCATTGTTTCAAATTGAACATAAAGCATAGTGATTCATCACAAAAACAGTATGTGATTATATATTGTGAAATATTTATTTCTAATGACAAGCCAATGAAATTTGTCTTGAAGCATGGTGTACAGTGGGTGACAGTCTTCACGCCGGGTACTCATAGGTGAGCGTATCTGCATGTGGGCACACCCACCTGGAGACAGATAGAGGAGTGGTGTCTCAGTTCCTAGGACCATCGGAAAACACCTATTTTTTCCGATGTTTTCCGATGGTCATAGGTGACCCCTGTGAAAGGGTCGTTTGACTCCTACAGGGGTCGTGACCCACAGGTTGGGAGCCACTGACTTGGAGGGAAGATCAAAATTTGGGTTGCCGGATCACACCCCCAGCGTCACTAATTGGAGAGCCAGGCCTCATTCCCAAACACCACGCCCACTTCCACTAGCGCACTCTAAGAACTACTGCTCTAGGGCATTCCCGACCCAGTCTGGGTTCAGCTGAAAGTAATCTGTTTAAACTGGCTCCCCTCAGATTGCTTTTAAATATTTCTTTTTCAGACGTTGGCCGTATGCAGACTTCTGAATGGCACGAAGCAACTTCTAGTGGCTTATGGTCAGGAGAAAAGCCTCTCAAGTCACACTGAGTAAGTTCAAATCCTGCCTCTACCACTCACTAGCTCTGCAGCTCTTCTTACTACAGTTTGACATTTTAGTGTCCAAATTTATATCTTAACAGAAGAGTACTGGTGGCCTACACTACCCCTCTGACTCACCCATTCTGGGGGTTAGTGTCAGTGAGTCACAGTCTCTTTTTAGGGGAGACATTGGAAATTCTCTGCAACTAACATGAAGCTTTCTGCTCCTGTAGACTTCTCACACACTGCCATCGAGTCATGTGGACTCACAGGGACCCCCTGTGGGTTTCGGAGACTGTTTACAGGACTGTTCACAGAATGTTTATAGGAGCTCTTTCTCCCGAAGAGCTGCTGGTGGTTTCAAACTTTGGACTATTGGGGATTGCAGCCCAATGTGTAACCATTATACCTTCAGGACTCCCCGTACAGAGTTACCGCCTGGGAAACCCACTGGGGCAGTTCTACTCTGTGAGCTTTTTTGTTTTGTCTTGTTTTGAAGTGCAGAAGAACAATTTTCTGGGAAGGAGAGCACATTTACAAGCTTATGTTTAATTACTTAACTCACTGCAACCAAGTCAATTCCAACTCCTAGCAAACCCTAAAGGACAGAGTAGAACTGCCCCTGTGGGTTTTGGACACTGTAAATCTTTACAGGAAGCAGACAGCCTCATTTCTCTTCTGAGGAGCAGTTAGTGTTTACAAACTACTGCTCTTGAGGTTAGCAGCCCAATTTGTAACCTACTACGCCACCAGGGCTCCATTCCAACTCATAGTGACCCAATAGGTCAGAAGAGAGTTGTCCCATAGTGTTTCCAAGGTTGTAAATCTTTAAGGAAGCTAACTGGTGGTTTCAAACCACCAACCTTCCAGCTACCAGAGGAGAGCCTAACCACTGTGCCAGTATCTGCTGCAGCTTGCAATCAGAACCCTGAATGCTAAAAACTCTCTTATTAACATTCAAATTGATAATAAAACTTGACCCATACGAGTAGGCATGAAAAAGCAGTCGTGGCATATGCCCTTTTTGAGTTTGGGGGTGGATGGGAGGATGCACACTTCCTTCGCCAATTTAGCCAGTCCCCCAAAGACTTAAATGTTTCTGACTACTGCTGTATTTCCCTCCAAAGCTTTCTCTTCTCCACTTTGTCCAACTCATCTCATTACCCAGAAAGTTTCTATCAGAACTTTAGTACCTGCTAACCCCCCAAAGGAGCCCTGGTGGCATAGTGGTTATGCGCTGGGCTGCCAACCACAAAGTCAGCAGTTCCAAACCACCAGCCAACTCCTCAGGAGAAAGAGTTGTTCTACTCTGGTAAAGAGTTACCCTTCCGGAAACCCACAGGGGCAGTTCTACCATGCCCTAGACCAGAGGTCCTCAAACTTTTTCAACAGGGGGCCAGTTCACAGTCCCTCAGACCCGTTGGAGGGCCGGACTATAGTTTTTTAAAAAAACTATGAACAAATTCCTATGCACACTGCACATATCTTATTTTGAAGTAAAAAAAAAAAAACGGGGGTCGGATAAATGTCCTCGGTGGGCCACATGTGGCCCACAGGCCGTAGTCTGAGGAACCAACTCAATAGCAGCAAGTTGAGTTATTGAGTTGAAAGTCCCCACATCAAACAAACCCTTGTCAAGTTCACTCGGACTCATAGCTGCTACCCGATAGGACAGCAGAACCGCCATGAGGGTTTCCAAGACTGTACACCTCTATGGAAGCACACGGCCTCATCTTTCTCCTAAGGAGCAGCTGATGGGTTCAAACCACTAACCTTTCCGTTAGCATCCAAGCATTTTAACCATTGAGTCCCCAGAGCTGCTTAATACTTGCTACTCGATGTGCTCAAGGGTTGATTTGATTTTAATAAAGCTGGGAAAAGCAGGAGGCATGGCCACAGTAGGGAGCAGAGAGACTAGAGAGTGAATACTAAGTCAGTCAAGTGGTTCCTTAAAAGTTTTCACAATTCTGGGGTAAAATGAAATAAATAAAGGCATCAGGTACCTCTTTAGCAGCTCCATATATTTAATATAAAGGATTACTATTATGAATTAATGTTCTTCTTAGAGTATTTAAACATATGACTTGAGTACAACGATGGTAGTTGGCGGTTGATTGCATTTAAGAGTCCACACTTGGCAAAGATCGACTGCCTTCTATTTGTGCCCCCTGCCCCATACCTTACATTCTATTGGTCCACGAAATCCACAGGCCCACTGGCTAAACCCAACACTGCCACCACTGCCCCGCCACCCTCACCCCCTCACCTCCAGTCCATCTGATGTTAAAAGCCCTTGCCCTCCAATGTTAGGTGAGAACCATCTTCTGAAGCTGGATTAGGTCTGATGTAGACAGTCCTTCCTCATATTGAGCCCCAAAGCTGCCTTGCTCTACTTTTCACTCCTTCTTTGGAGAAATCTGGTAGATTTATTCTTTTTTCCTCAAGGAGTCCTTCCAATATTTTCAGATAGCAATCAGGTTTTATCTTCCTCCAGCCAAATAATCAGAGTCATGTTCTTCATCCTATTTCTTATCCTCCAATGACTACAGCTAGAATTGGCCGTTGATTTCAGGGAACCATATCACTAAAACCTGCACATCTTTTAGATACGGGCAGAGCGCAGGCCTGAGGTTCATGCCGACCCTCCACCACAACTGGGCAGTGGCTTCCTAATTTTTCACTTAGCCCCTCTTATCTTAATCTCAGCCATAAAAACAAAAGACTAGATTGAGGTTTATCTTCTATTTACCCCAGGATTGTTGATTTCCACGCTAATTAAGTCAGCTCCTCAAAGGCAGGGAGCATGTGTCCTGGTGTTCTTTTTCCAGTTCGAAGAACAGTTTGCACAGAATGAGGTAGACATTCATTAAGTGGCTGGTTCTCCAGTGTGCTTTCTCCCACTCTTGTATACCAAACCAAAAGTCAAAAATCACCACACCACTGAGTTGATTCTGACTCACAGCGACCCTAAAGGACAGAGTAAAAGTGCCCCCTATGGGTTTCCCAGACTGTAAATCTTTTCTGAGTAGAAAGCCTCAGCTTTCACCCCAGGAGCGGTTGGTGGTTTGGAACTATTGACCTGCCAGTGCATAACCCATGACAGCCTCCAGGACTCGCTCGTTGTGTACAGTGCCTGTATTAAATGACAGCTAACTTGCTGGACCTAACCAACCCTCAACGCCAAACATTCTTTGCCTACTAACCCCCTCGCCTGGCTTCTGCTGCAGAGAATTTCTTGTGTAAAAGAGTCCAATCCCGCTAACAATGACTGTGACATGTGGGGGCTAACCCTAGATACCAGTAAAAGGAGAGAGGTCATTCATAGGGAGGTTAAAAACAGAAACTGAGTACCGAAACCGTTTTATTACAGACAGAAGTCAATGAAAATTGCCTCAAAAATGCAGACTGCGTGTTCTGAAGATCTGAAGAAGGAAAACCATGGCTTCAACCTGAGAAAATTACTGTCTCAGAATATAAAATACACAGCCCTCCACTACTCTAAAGTTGTGGTCAGGAATACTTGAAGGCCTTTCTTGCGTTCCTCTTAAGTAAGGGGAAACATTAGGGAGACTTGGATTTCGGAAATAACACAGGAGAGCCAAGCCAAAATATGTCAGGGGTAATAACATCATGTGAAGAAAAAAAAGCAAAAGAAAACAAACTCCAGACATACACTTCCATTTCAGCAGCATTCCACTATTTCCCATTCTACCTATCTACCTTGAATGATCAAGGAGATGGGTTGGGGGGTAAAAGTTGTATGAAATATAGTACTTGCCTTTCATGAGCTTATGATCTGGTGGAAGAAATCAAAGTCATTCCATTAGAGAAAAAGAGGCAGTGTAGCCTAGAATACTTTGAATCGGCTAGGGGAAATGGGAGAACCTTAAAACGGGCCTTGACCTCCACTCAAGTACTCCCTCAATGCAAGAATACTTTCCTCTGTTACATTCGTATTCTAAGATTCTCACCTTCCCAACATAACCGCTGAAGACAAAGCGGGTGAATAAGCAAATGTGGTGAAGAAAGCTGATGGTGCCCGGCTATCAAAAGATATAGCGTCTGGGGTCTTAAAAGCTTGGAGGTAAACAAGCAGTCATCTAGCTCAGAAGCAACAAAGTCCACATGGAAGAAGCACACCAGCCTGTGCGACCACGAGGTGTCGAAGGGATCAGGTATCAGGCATCATCAGAACAAAAAAATCTTACCATAGTGAATGATGCGGGGAGTGGGGAGTGGAGAGTGGAGACCCAAAGCCCATTTGTAGCCCACTCCAAATCCCCTTGCAGAGGGGTCTCGGGGAGGAGATGAGCCAGTCAGGGTGCGATGTAGCAACGATGAAACACAACTTTCCTTTAGTTACTAAATGCTTCCTACACCCCCCCACTCCCACTATCATGATCTGAATTCAACCTTTCAAGTCTGGCTAGACCAGAGGATGTACACTGGTACAGATAGGAACTGGAAACACACGGAATCCAGGGCGGATGATCCCTTCAGGACCAGTGGTGTGAGTGGCGATACTGGGAGGGTAGAGGGAAGTGGGTTGGAAAGAGGAAACTGATTACAAGGATCTATATGTGACCTCCTCCCTGGGGGACGGACAACAGAAAAGTGGGTGAAGGGAGATGTCAGACAGGGCAAAATATGACAAAATAATAATTTATAAATTATCGAGGGCTCATGAGGGAGGGGGGACTGGGGAGGGAGGGGAAAAAATGAGGACCTGATGCTGGGGGCTTAAGTGGAGAACAAATGTTTTGGGTATGATGAGGGCAATGAATGTACAAATGTGCTTTACACAATTGATGTGTGTATGGATTGTGGTAAGAGTTGTATGAGCCCCTAATAAAACGATTAACAATATTTTTAAAAAACGGGCCTTGAAAGAGGGCAGGCAGAGCCTTGGCTAGGTGTAGATAAGGGAAAGGGAGGTGGGTGTAGGAGGACAGGATAAACCAAAACAAGGTGAGAACATACATATCACCGGGAAGCAGGCATCCAGAGACAGTAACCAGAGTGGAACAGAGAACTGCCTTCCTTGTCTACCTGAAACAATATCAGATCGGATGTGTACACACACCTGGAAACCACAGGGGGGAGGAGGGTAAATAGACAGTAGCTGAACAGGAAAGTGGCTTGAGGAAATGCACATTTTAGTTCACCTAGTAGGACTTCAGCGGGCACAGTAGGTCACACATTGAGAAGGCAGGCAGGCAGGCAGGCAGGCAAGGAGGTTTGTAGGCAGTGCGGGTTTAGCTCAACTTGTAAAATGGTGACAGAACGGAACTTGATGGAGGGCATGGAAGTGAGGGGAGACTCCCTGCCTACCTGGAGCCGCCCCCGCCCCTAGTCTGAAAAACAAGGACACCCTGGCAGAACACTGTCCATGTCCCTTGCCTGGTAAACTCCTTCACGTCTGGGAATGGCTGTCATCCCAGTGAAGTCACTGAACTGCGGTTTTCTAGATGCCTTCGATGCCTCAGCCTCAAGGAGTGGGGGTGGGGGTGGGGGGTGGAGAATGCAGGGGGCATCATACTTCAATAGCATTCCCCACACTAATACAATGGAGGTGTTTGCTTACTCCGTTTACAATCACGGCCGCCGCAGCAAACTTCACCCTTAGTAAAATTAGGATGATTCCGAGAAAGACACCCATTCACCCTCCGGGTAGCTGGATCTTGCCAGTTCCTCAGCTGTCAGAGCGAGTTCGTGGAGAGAAGGGAGGCGCCTGAAGAAGGCGGCCTCCCAGGGGGGGTCGAGAAGCAGGGTTCAACCGAAGAAGGAAAACCGCCGATGCCAGGAGCGTGAGAGACAGGGAAGGGGTTCGGCTGAGGGGAGAGAGAGAGACCAAAGGACCGTTAGGCCCCTGCCGGGCCAGAAACTAGGCCAGCCCGGCCCCGCGCGGCCTAGCCCCGCTCCCCAGCCTGGAAGCCCAGCAGCTCCCCCTCACCTGCTCGGGCTCCGCGGACGACTAGGAAACCGAAGCTCCCCCGATTGGAAACGCCACCGCAACGCCAACCCGGAAGCATTGGAACTAGCGGAAGTAATCAAGGCGTTGCCCGGGCAACACTGGCGCAGCCGGGCGTCCCCGCCTCCTGGAAGTCTGAAAAGAACGCGCGAGAACAAGCGGAGGGCGTCAGGGAGGTTTGGAGGCCCCGCCCCCTGGACCGGCCACACCTGCAGTTCACCTGCTTGCCAGCTGGGGGCAGAGCTGTCGCTAGGGATCCCCCTTCTAGCTTGCACTAGAAGAGGGGCGGGGTCAGAGGCAGGGGAGGGTTAGCATAGGCGAGGAGCGGGAAAAGTGGGCTGATGGGGTTGGGCGCCCTGGGTGCTGCAGAGCCTGAAAAGGGCCGGAAAGTGACTGGGGATGAGGGGTGGGCAAAGAACTGACGGGCCCAAATTAGGGGGGAGGAGGGAAGGAAAGGGAGTCAGCTGTATTTCAGGAATGCCCGAGGGCAGAAAAGAAATCAAGACCGTGTGACTTGTTGAATGTGAGACTGATGATCTGCTCGCAATAAAAAGCTGAAAAGAAAAAAGAAAGACTGTTGCCTGCTGAGCCTTTAAAGTAGAGCGTGAAGAGTTAAGATGCTGGAGGGCCAGAAGCTTCCTCAAGGAGATGGACTGATGCCGTGGCTGCAACCAGGCAACCGTTGTGAGGATGCTGAAGGACTGGGAAGGGTTTGTGGTGCCTTGGGTCCCTGTGGGCCCAGAATGACTCCACAAACTTAGATAACCACCTCTACTCAAAACTCATGGTTCAGTCAAAACTATCCATTGAAAAGGGAAGGAAAGGTTAGAAACGTGGGACTGAAGTGAAATGCCCCAGGCAACCCTAGTGAATCCACACCTTACAATTAGCCAAAAGACAATGCAGTAATATTGTGAACTGCTGCCTGCTTGCTTGAGGAGGTGTTCCACAAGGCTCCCTGGGTGATCCCATTAGCCTCTACGTTGAAGCTGGACTTAAGCCTCTTGCTTGAAGGTCTCAGGGATCGCCCAGAAGTTTGAAATAACTTAGTGTTTATATGTGAAGACTATGGTGTAAACATTGCAAGGTCCATGGCCCTAAATGGTTAAAGGCTGAAGGAATTTTCAAAATAGCTTTTGTGGTTGTTGTGGTGATGGTGGTGGTGGTGGTTGTTAGGTGCCATCAAGCCAGTGCCAACCCATAACGACCTTATGCAAAACAGAATGAAACACTGCCCGGTCCTGCATTGTCCTCACAGTTGTTCCTATGCTTGAGGCCCCTTGTGGCAGCCACCATGTCAATCCATCTCATTGAGGGTCTTCGTATTTTTCACTGCCCCTCAGCTTTACCAAACATGATGTCTTCCAGGGACCGGTCTCTCCTGACAACATGTCCCAAGTCTGTAAAGCAAAATCTTGCCGTTCTTGCGTATAAGAAGCACTCTGGTCATACTTCTTCCAAGGCAGAGTGGCTTGTTGTTTTAGCAGTCCCTGGTTCTTTCAATATTCTTCTCCAGCACCACCATTCAAATTCTGCAGTCTTCTATTCGATTCTTCAAGTCTTCATCAGTCTTCTTTAGTCAATGCCCAACTTCCACATGCATAAGAGGCCATGGAAAATACCATAGGTTGAGTCTTTGTTCCAATCCAAATAGACCTTCCTCATTTTATTTGGTGTCCTTTTACCCCTTGCATTTAAAAGTTGTCTTCAGGCCACATACCATATATACTCGAGTATAAGCCAACCCAAATATCAGTCGGGCCACCTAATTTTACCACAAAAAACTGCATTTAAAAATGTGCTGAAAAACTCAGCTTATACTCGAGTATATATGGTACATAAATGATTTTACCCACATTATAGAATGCTGAACCATGAGGTGCCAAGTGTTTTATGTGCTCACCCTTCCCCTGTAAACCCAGCATGCTTGTTATCCCTTTTTGACAGATGAGAATACTGAGGCCAGAAGAGATTCCCGTTATATGCTGGTGTGTGGCACCGCTGAGATTTCAAACACATGCCTCACTTGAGAGCCCATAGTCGTAACTCCTACACTACCATGCCTCTGAACTTCCAAAGTACTCCTTTTAACTTTTGAGGCTTCCTTATTAAAATAAAACTAAGAATTGTGGACATGCATGCCAGAAATGTGAATTTCCTTCCACTTGCATTTCATCCCAGCCACACTGTAGCCTACAGTTCATATTTGGAAAAACTTGTTCTCCAATGGCATGAAAATTATGCACAGTGGCAGCCTGTGCAGGTGCTCCACATACCAGGTTGCTCAACCTTGCAGAATCATGGTGGCTCCCGAGCAAATCATTATCTTCATGTTTCTACAAGAGTGCACTTTGGCTCCACGCCTGCTGCCAGCACCAGCTAATCATACTGACCACCAGCTTGAAACACTTGGTTAAAAGAATGATCTTTGTTTTCCTGGTAATTTACTCTCAACATTCTCCCATGAATAACTCAAAACATAGCAGCTGTTGAAACAAAACGACCACACAGCACACACTTTTCTGTGGTGACACATTTGCAGCTTGATTAGATTCTCAGAATTTTCTTAGAAGGACCATATCGAAAGTCTAATCCTCACCACCCAAATTGGCCGTTTCCCGTTGCCATCCCCTCCTGTGTGTATCCTTTGCCACCCAGATCACGCTTTACTCGTGTTCTCTTGTGCTATGCTTGCATTCTGGCCTCTTCAAGTGAGCAACTCAGCAAAAGAATAGAGTCCTGGGATCTTCCAGTTTAAGACTCTGAGAGGTCACTGATGCTAGTCCAAATGACAATTGTCCTCTGACCACTTTCAGGATAGATGTGAACACTGGTCATTGAAGTCTAATGACAGAATGCTTCTTAGAGGCAACGATGGCGAGACTTTATCTTACGCACTTTGGGCATGTTGTCAGGAGAGACCATTGGCTAGAGAAGGACATCATGCGTGGTAAAGTGGAGGGGCAGCAAAGGAGGGGAAGGCCCTCCAGGAGATGGGTGGACACAGTGGCTGCAGCAGTGGGCTCAACCATAGGAATACTTGTGAAGAAGGTGCACGACTGAGCTGTGTTTCATTCTGTTGTCTGTAGGGTCGCTGTGAGTCGGAACCAACTCGATAGCACCTAGTAACAGCAAGTATACAGCAGGAGGCAGCCTACTGCGCTACTGGATCACTGTTAGAAAGTTCTCATCTACATGAACCAAAATGTGCTTTCCAGTTTCTATTCTTCCCCAGAGCAACAGCCGTTCACAAAGAATGGAAAGAGCACTGCCCCTGAACACAGAAGGCCTTTTTGAAACCAAATCCCATCACTCTCTAAGCTCCATCCCTTTGGGTTAATCTACAACTTCTGAGCCTCGGTTTCCTTATTTGAAGATTAAATATGACAATACTCTGAGCACAATGCCAGGCCTTTAGCACGTTTAGCCAATGTTACTTCCCTTGGTTTTTTCTTCCTCCCCTTGTCAGCCCTCCTGCACGTCCTTCACCAGAGCAGTGTTTTCTCCCACTCATTTGGCACCACTCCATTCAATTTGCAGTTGGCCCACTTTCCAGACCTCCCCTGTCTTATTACCTTGCTCGAAGATGATACGACGACGCAGGACACCCCTAAATATTTTATTAGCATGGAAGATTTGCAGGGAAGGGGGGAAGCGCTGTTAGATATTCTGATAATTGTTTTAAATTTTAAATGGAGAACATTCTAGTGGTCATTGCTTTTGTTAGGTGGTGTCAAGTCAGTTCTGACTCATAGCAACCCAATGTACAAGAGAATGATATTTGGCCTGATCCTGTGCCGTCCTCACAATGGGTATGTTTGAGCCCATTGTTGTGGCCGCTGGCTCAAATCTTCTCATTTAGGCTCGTCTTCTTTTTTTGCTGACCCTCTACTTTATCATGTATGTGGTCCTTCTTGAGGAACTGGTCCCTCTTAATATGTCCAAAGTATTTGAGATAAAGTCCAAAGTCTCACTGTCCTAGCTTCGTGTGCGTGTGTGTGTGTGTGTGTGTGTGTGTGTGTGTGTGTGTGTGTGTCCTAGCTTCTAAGGAACATCGTCATTGGAAGGTGCCATCAAGTCGCTTCTGACTCATAGCAACCCTATGCGCAACAGAACAACACTGCCTGCTCCTGGACCACCCTCTCAATTATGCCTATTTGATCCCATTGTGGCAGACACTGCCTCAGTCCTTCTCATTAAGGAGCCTCCTCTTTTTTGCTGCCCCTCCACTCTACCAAGCGCAATGTCCCTCTCCAGGCACTGACCTCTCCTGACATGTCCAAAGTATGGAAGACAAAGTCTTGCCATCCTTGCCTATTAAGGAGCACTCTTTCAAGACAGATTAAAAGGAGCATTAAATTACATGGGTACTATAGCAAAATGTAGTGAAGACATTAGATAGTGCCCGGCTGTCAGACAAAATAGTGTCTGGGGTTTTAAAGGATTGTCTCCAAACAAGCAGCCATCTAAGTGAGATATCAACTAAGTGCACATGGAAGAAGCACACCATCATCAATGACTGGAGGATTACAAAGCATATAAACCGAAGTCAAAGGAGGGAACAATATCAGAGCATAAATTATGAGAATCCAGCTTGCAGAAGGCCATGGATGACAGTGGGAGCGCAAGATTCGTTCATGGGAACTACATAGGAAATAAGCCTCCGGTGATCTCCCTCTATCCATAATTGAGGAATGGGAGGAAGGCAGTAACTAAATAGAGTGCACTGGAGCGATGAGTATAGAAGATCAAAGGGATAAACCTGACTTGAACAGTTAAAACCTTGTCAGTTGATCCCCCCTCTGATGTATGCTGGACCTGATCTAGTTTTCACCATTTTCTGTACTTTGAGGGGGCGAGTTGTTCATATTAGGGTTTATTTCAGATGTGTTATGTTATTGGGAGTCGCCCTCTTGAATTTATGTTATATGTTTTTTCTGTTTTTCAGTGTAAGAAACCCAGGATTGGTGAACTTACAGAGACAGCAAGTAGAATAAGGGTTGGAGGGGAAGTGTTACATTGGTGGGGGAGGGGGACGGGATAAATGGGAGGC